ACCTGAATACCCTATGAATGTGTACCTTCTACACAAATGCTAAATACCAAGAATCCTCATTATCTTGATTAGAAACACCTATTTTGTCCCTGTGTACATGCAGTCAGAGCAGTTTGTTATCCTCTTATCTTAATTATATGTGGTCTAATACACAAATGGGACTTTTTATTTATTATGCTATGACACAACAAACCTTTTGCTTATGTCACTCAGTCCTTTTTGATACATATTCCTACTTTGCATTCACGCAACCCTGTCCATAGTTGAATGTTTCTACAAATTACTCATCTACTTGCACGTACAGTATGAAACACAAGAGTTTAAACCTCAGCAAGATCCCACAAGACTTCCTACTGAAAAGCACAACTGGAAGAAAGGTAAAGCTGAGGGCAAAGCTGTGTCAACTGAAAAAGAACCACAAATGAAAACAGATGTTGGCGCTTCCACGCTGAGATTTTGGTTATATAAAGTCCAATTACTCCAGCTGTGAGATAATACATATCATGTGCATATAAAGCACCCAGACTGTTTGCTTCATCCCGACTCTTCCATTAAACCTTCACAGAGAACAATACCTTGGGTTAGCGTGGAGGCCTGTGACCCCACAACCTGCACCGAGCGAGTATCACGGCCTAGTTCTGCTAAATTAAACAAAGCAGCAAAGCTGTCAACTCATGCAGAGTTTGACGGAAGTTGAAATAAAAACAATGCAATGTCTATCAAAAAATAAATAAACACTGGGCTTAGGATGTTGTATTGAAAAGTCACAATTCTAGTGGCTTTGTTTTCTCCCTTTTTGTCTATAACAGGCCCATTGCTGGTTAAAAAAAAAAAAGAAAGACATATGGCTTTGGAATTGTATAATGTCCTCAAATAACTTCAACAGGAATTTGTCTTTAAACTGCATGTCACACACACTTGTAAGTCTCACACTCTGAACATGTAGGTTGTCTCACCTTGCTGCTCAGGGGTTTTAGGGGTAGTCCGGAGGCAGGATTTCCTTGATGCTGAGTGGTATTAGTCTGCTGGGGTGAGTGGGAATCCTCAGACTCTTTTCCACTGTGGTAGACCACCCTATCAGATATATGAATGCTTGAAGCACAGCCCATGCTTCAACCCCACTTCAGCCCTTTTCTTTTTGAGCAAGTGCTTTACTTTGAGGCTACCCGAGTGTCATTTGCCCTCTCTTTTAGTATGTAAAGTCCAATCTTCCTCCTTAGGTTTTGTTTTTTAAATGTATATATAAATACATATGTGCATCATTTAGGCCATTTAGCAAAGCCGGATCTCCAATTTGCTTGAACACAAGGTATGAATAATATATGTTAAAGTTAATTGGAAATCATTAATCAAAGCAGCTGTGTGACCCCCAGACTACTTGGATTCCGTTATTCTTCAGCTGAGCTGCTCAGATCCCCATGGACGAATTTTATCCCTCACTCCGGTTCCTCTTCTCGTCTGCTTCGTACCACATCACCATTTTCTCATTTTTCCTCAACTTAGGGGTTATCAAGCAGGCCTAAAACCGCACCGCGCAGTCCCTCCGCCAGCTTCATGCAATAGTTGTATCCATTTCTGTGTCCAGTGTTTCATGTGTATCCTTCCTCCCCCACCCCGGAGCCATCAAAATGATGCTTTCCCCCTCTCTCTTTGCCCACTTTAGCTCAAGACATGGGCCATAAACCGGTTCTCACGACACTTTGCTCCAGTCCTGAGCCGTTCATCATCAACAGGCTGAAATATTCACACTGCAGAGTGTTATTCTGACCGGTCGCTCCGATGTCAAACACCCTCCGTAAAACATAATGCTATGTAGTCCGACGGAGCACTCCATTTATCACCAATTTAGGACGCAGAGAAATCTTACTGGATGGCTTGCAATCTCCATTCAGGCATCCGCTGCCCGAGGGAGGATGTTTCGCCTGATATAAGAGGTCCAAACCCCGGCGCAATTGGCTACAGTGTCACCAGGCTCCACGGTTTTCTCTCATTCTGGAGAAAAACAGATGTAGAGGCTGTCTAACATTAATATGTGGAGGTACCACCTCTAGAGAATGCACTCGCTTGAGAGACACTCAAGAGAAAAAAATCTTTAAAAAAAAATGGGGGGGAGGAAAAAATAAGACCGCGTCGTGTCCACAAGTTTCGGATTTGAATTCGGGGACGGCGGGATTATTTAAGGTTGACGAGGGCGAAGGTGAAGCAGAATCGAGCTACATAACGCTGATTTTATGTTTGTCTTTTCTCTGCCTTTTCTGGCGTTTGCCCTTCCAATTCTTCAGCGCTGCTTGACAGCGGCACATCCAATAAAAGCACCCGCAAGGATTGACCTACAGCCTTTACTGACGTTAATGCAAATGAGCTCCGCGCAGCTAATCGGCGTCGCGCTCGGCGCCGCTGGGTGGTCCGTGGCTTTCCGTGGCATATTTGAAAGCAGGAAGAGAGCTCGCTGACGAACAATGCTGACAAGACAGCTACGCCGAACGTTTTCTGCACTCAGTAGCCTGCGTGCAAGCCGGGCGGAAACGGGTTTTGCTGAGTTTTGCACGGTTTTGCTTAATGCAAAATAATTAGACTATAATTTACAGTAAGAACACCCAGGTTAACATTTTTGGTCGGGTTTCAGGGCTGTGCAACACGTGACACGTTATCATAAAGTCCTATATAAATGTTTAAATGTAATTTAATATTAAAATATGTAAAACATACAAACAATATAAATCAGCTTGTAGCCAATACTGTGTTCTTATGATGTCAGATTAAATACATGAAATCACTTAAATGTTTATTTTTCCTAATTGTCTTAATGTCACATTTCATGTCAGTGTTCATGTTTACCCATATTTGCCCACTGCTTCATAGCAGGCTTAACAAATATCACTTTATCTAAACTTCCCAAAAGGGGTTGACTTAATCATCCCTGCGAATAATACTTCACTACCATCATAATGCCCAGAGAATATGCAATACTAGGTTCTCCAGATCGGATATACTGATCTGGGTAGCAAATGTTTTCATGGAGCCTTATTACATGTGAACTCTGAGAAACAGAGCAGTGGTGTATTCCAGTGCATTTGCATCTGCAATGCAAAAGATGCTACTGATGTTTGGTATCCTCACTGTGCTCCCTGTGATCTCCAGAAATGCTGGATCCTATATTTTGCATAATGCAACCAGTAGTACATTTTTGTTAACCCCCTTAATAATAATAATAATAATAATAATAATAAATAATAATAATAATAAAATACCAACAAGTCATGAGGGTGTGGTTTAACTGCATTAGTCATTATGAGGTCATAAAAATACAAACCATCAGCGTATATAAAATCACTTACAGTCACAGTCTCAAATGGTTTATATCAAAAAACACACCCATAAATTAATTACTGAACAGGACTACTGGGCTATTACCCTTTCTGTTGGAAAGTCAATTGATTTTAAAATCACCACAAAAAGTCATAAAATGAGAATAAAATAGATATAAAACAACTATAAAATGATACAAAACCACTAAAAAGAGACGGAAAATGACTAAAAAGTTGACAGAAAAGATCCTAATAACAGCAATACGACCACAAAAATATGCAGGAATGACAAAAAAAGAGAAAAGAAAAAGGATATGAGATGCTAAACAACCAAAAATGAACACTACTTGGCTAAAACAGATGCAAAACAACAACTAACTATATATTAAATGGTTTCTCAGTCTACATTTTCCTCATAGAAGTGCAGAGGAGGAAGGGGTTATTTATACTGTATGTCTGTGCCAGGTGTGTTACTAGACATAAAGCTCTACTGGAACACAGGCCCCGCTTGACTAAAATCACACATTTTTTGAACATCTGCTACATGAATGAAATGTGCTATACATTATTCTATATGAACTTTCCTTGCTTAGCCCACCATTCCACTGCCATACTGCTGCTACTGGTAAAGGTAAAAATGTAGTGATGTTAATCTTAAACATACATTAACAACATGCTCAACATGTTGTTATGGCATGAAGGTCTGGTCCTGTATTGCACATTTCTTTGCTTTCTTCTGCATTCCACAATAATATAATTTGTCAAGTAACCCCAGTTTTATGTGTCAAATTTAAATTTCCACAAGTTAATCTATCAACAAATCATTCATTTAAACATACACCATCTGCTTGTTAAATGTACATAAAATAAACATCTTCTGGACTGTGTGACAAGAGCATCAAAAGGCTCTAAGTGTCAGAGCAGGCAAAATTCAAGTTTCCAAACATACTCCCTGTAGCAAAGCATAGGAGAGTGAATGGTTTACGGACTCCAAACTAACTGGTGTGTTCTCTGTGGTGATTATTATTTTGTCATGATGTGTCCCTATGTTCTGGTCTTGTTTTGAGGAATGATGCTAGCAGTTGAATAGTATTGTGCAATATGAGGCTTGGTTATGCATTTAGTGTATGTTTTAGGTTAGTATAGAGTAGCAGCAGAAGAGGTGATGCTTACAGAGAAGTGCCTTAATGTAAAATGTTGTACATTAGCATTTTAAGGATTTATACTCCTCTTCTGATTTGGAGGAAATTGACCTGTTGATGAGTGCCTAATCCTAAATGTTTAAATCCAGTGTGTTCTGTAATAACAGGCTTACAAAGGATTGTGTGCTGCTTAGAGCTCACACTAACTGTTTTGTTACCTGGCTCTTGGGATATAAAGTGAATAATTTTACAGCTAAATATTAGATTTTAATTCTTGACATCTATGGTTTACTTTGTGATCTAATTATTCCATCCCTCAGGGGTAGTCTACCAATAAATAATATTCACTTTAGATCCAGGGTTGATCCAGAGTCTTATGATCTAACATTTATGTCCTGATCTAATGATCCCAAACCTCATGAACAGCCTACTCCAGGGCCTTGGGACACACAGTCACCTTTAATCCATAATGTGATTCTGAATGTAATTTATTAGTACTGGAGGCGGCCACAGGTCTTGTCACAGGCCATAGCTCAGAGAGTGTTCACCCTGTAGCTTGATCCAAGCTACACTGTTACAAAGGTGAAGCTGTTAAATAGGGAGCGTGCTTGTGTCGAATGTCAGAGAGCCCCACATAGTCAGGATTTGTCTGCTGACAGTGAACAGTTTTGGTCCCACTGATGTCACATGCTGCCACAACAGTGTCTGAGATAAAATAGATTGTGAAATTTGTGACTTTTGCTGTACTCCTTAACAGTTTGTCATAAATCAAAGCTTTTTACCCTAAGATCTTTAAAGGTCTTAAGTGTACATGGGTTTACTTTAAAGTGACACTCTTATCTAGTGAAGAGAAAGGAGTGGCACACTAGAATTATGTAAGACAACAAAAAGTTTGTGTAGGTGCAGTGCTGAGAAAAGAAATCAAATATTAACTTACCATACTGATGTGAGCATTTTAAAGTTCAAAAGTAAAGAGTAATTAAAAAGGTTTAATCCTCAGGTTATGAAGTTTAGTCTAGTCTTCTGGATTCCCTCACCACTACAGATCCAGGCAAAAGATGATGACTGGACTTGCATGGCGACACTGTTTAATTTGGCGAGAATACTGACAAGGTGAGTAGCAGGGTCCAAGCTGAAAACTATGATTTGGTTGAGTTTATCTATGCTGTAAGGTGCAAAATTACAGCATCAGGAATCCATAGGTCTATCCTCAGGATGTTGTCGTGTATGTGGATGCCTTCAGTACGTTGCCACCTCATTGTAATTAAAAATGTTAAATGACCTAAAGTTAGTGGAGAACACTTTAATAAGGTGAAATGTGACATTTAAGTAATGACTGCTTTACCATTGTATATAGCTGAATTCATTATTATAACCTAAAATAATTCAACATCAGCATTATTGTTTGACTGTGTCATTAAGGCACTTTATTTCAATTGTTCAATAAACTTCAGGTTTCTGTGTTTTATTCCACCACTAGATAGCAGCAGAATGCACACATCTGCAGATTCAGACTTTTTAAGCACCTTCTCTGTTATTGCAGATCTTATCACAGTGTTGCATTTTCTAATTCAATTGGTGCCAGACAACAAATCACTATACTAATATCCATATATAATTAACTTTATATATATTTATATAATTTTTTGGTCTTGCAGGCTTTAAATATTAAAATACCAAGACAGTCAAATTTAGTTCTCATAACCTATATTATGCTATATTACTCCTATCTCTTGTAAGATCTATAAAGTACTATAAGTTACTGTGCCAGAAAATGAAATGAAAAAAAGACATTTTTATTCTCCAAGAAAGGAAGTCTGAGATGCACGCAGAAGTAAATACAATACAAAAGCCAAGGTTGCAAGATACATCTTTCAAATGCACAGGGATTCATTCTTACTGATGTCCCTGGGGCCACAGGGGCTTCAGATCTTTCATTATCAGACCTCACTACACAGGTGACCAGGTCCAGATTGATCAAGTTCTGGCTTGCATCCCAGCAGTAACAAACCAAGGGTATGTCCTCTTTATCCAAAGCCACTTTTTGACTGTCTCTGCAGCTTCAGTGATGGAAAGTATGGCCCTTCTCTTTATTGCTCCGGTGAGTCTGTGTTTAGTCAGAGCTTTATTGAGTGAGTGCCCAGTGAAACCCTGGAAGCCCACTTCAGTTGGGTTGCAGTAAGCTTGCTGGCCTTGGTTTCTGCACATCTCCACTAGCTCTTCGTATTTGCTGAGTTTCCTCTCAAGAACCTCCTCTCAAGAACCTCCTCTCAAGAGCCCCCTCCATGTTCTCCTTCCAGAGAACTTAATTTGTCTCCTAAAGTCCACTCTGGGCTGGCAATCTGTGGCTGTAGAGAGTAGGTATGGTCTAGTTGTTGGACCTGGGCGGGGGCTTCTCTCCACCTTTAGAAAAAGGGATGGACTTCTTCCTAGGGTGGACTGGATAGCTGTGGTGACCACTTCTGCAAATGCCTTGAGCACTTGGTCATAGCCCCAATGGAAGCATCACTCAGTCAAGGCTTTGGTACATCTGCTGAGGAGTTGCTGAAGGACCCCCTCCCAGTGTTAGCCTTGCCCCATGTGTGGGGGTTTGCTGGGCTTGGCAAGGAGTCATGGAAGATAGGTGTTATTTCTCCTGTCCCTTAGCTTTGCTAACCTGACAGCTTCGGAAGTAACCAAGACCTGCTCGCCCTTTTTCCACTAACCCAACAAGAGCCCTCTGCCTTAACCTTGCCTCTGCCATCTGCAGCTCTCTGGCAGCACTCCACTTTCTGCCTGTGTGGACCTCTATACCAGCTACTGCTACTTTAGGATCCCTGGAATGTAAATTATGTATTACATGGCTTCTCTTGTGCGTATTAACATGAATTTGTCTGTGAGGCCAGTGAAGGGGAGCTGTTGGTTGTTGGTGGACCCATACAAAGTGGCACTGCTTAAAAGCCTTGGCAGGCCAAGCTATTTTCACAGGTAGTTGCTGATCTTCTTTTTCAGGGCTTCCACAGTTGACATGGGAACACCATAAAGCAGTAGTGGCCAAAAGACCCTAGGCAGAATGGCATGCTGGTATTTCAAAGCCTCAAAGCAACCAGGCAACCAAGATCCGCAAACCTAGGAAATCCAGGCCAATGGATGGAAGATGTGTTCTTCAGGCTGCTGTCAAAGTATTTCCCCAAGCTCTTGAGTGGCAGGGGGCCCCTTAGTCAGGGGGACTGCTGATTTGAACACCATATTCACGGTGAGGGAAAGAAAGGATGTCTAGAGATAGTACAGCTGGTTATGATTCTTTTTTCAATCCTGTGCCATCCTGACGTCAAAGACCCAGAAGTAAATCTCATCCAGAGGTTCTTGTAAAAATCCAAAATGAGGTCACTGATCTTCCTGGGAACATGGTGTCTCTCATATAAACTTTTGGAGTATATATTACTGATAATGTAAATTTGCTAATGTATCCTTTACGGTTCACATCATCAACTTTGATCAAAACAGCATTGAAAAGAATACTACGGTCCACAAACTGGCACTTCATTTTACAGAATCATAGGTTTTGTTTTTCTTAAAGCTATAGTTACAAAGATGTTGCCTTGAACTGAAACAAAAGTAATAAACTGAATAGCTGTTTTTCTTTACCTTTCCAGTAAAGTCACCACTTCTCCTTGCATTTGCATTAGTCCACTTTACATAATAATATATGATGCAATATTTCTCCTATTGACACATCATCCTGTACTTAAAATAGAGTATTTCATGTTGTAGTGTTAATACTTTTATAATAAAAGAACTCAATAATGTCCGATTGACACAAATATACAAACAAACACACAAATATATACCAAATGATATAATCAAAAACAAATAGACAATCGCAAAAATGACACATCTTTATAATTACATTTAATAATGGTGCATAATACAAAACATTGCTTGCATTCCTCTGTTGAGCCACGAACTTCCTTTGAATTCACGATTTCTAAATAAATATCAACTGTCCAACTGTATATGCAGCAAAGGAATCAGAAAACAAATCTTTACAACAGAATATCTTTTGTTCAAATATTTCCAGAGAGGGATAGTACCCAGAGAGAACCCACGCAGGCACAGAGAGAACATACAAACTACACACTGTGAGGCCACAGTCCAAAGACATGCAGTTTAGGTTGAATGGTGACTCTAAATTTCCCATAGGAGTGAGTGTGGGTGTGTGTGGTTGTTTGTCTACATGTCAGCCCCTGTAATAGACTGGTGACCTGTCGAGGGTATACCCCACCTCTTGCCCAGTGACAGCTGGCTCCAGACCCCTGTGACCCTCTTCAGGATAAGTGGTATAGATAACGGATGGTTCAACTTTGCGTTTCAGTAGGCGACACCCAAACGCAAAACCTTTAGGGGTACATTCCTTTTAAGATAGGGTTTGAATTTTAGAAACTGAGGCATTTTGTTGTGACAACACATTTTAGAGCTACAGTGGAATTAAGATTCCAGAATAAGGCTTTAATCTTTAAAGCTCAATAAAAACTGCCTATTTCTGGCAAGGCTAGTCGAAGTAGGACTGCAGGGTACCACGGCGGCGGACATCGGTCGTCCAGCAGTGGAAGCCACCACCCAGGGAGTTGGCATGGCGAATGTTCACCTTTATGGGCATAATACCTACAAAACACATTCATGTATTATTATTATTATACAACCTAGAGACCTTATTTTCTGAAAATAGCCCTTATAACAGTTTTTTTCTCATAGTTGAATTGGAAGATCAAAATGTCTGAAATGATTCTTATAGGATTTAAAATAATGAAAAAATAAGCCGATAAGCTGGACTAACTTTAACATATGAACTCACCGAGGCTCTCAAACATTTTTTGAATGGTGGTTTCATTGGCCTCAACCATGACACGCTTCTCATCCAGCATCAAGACATTCATGGACAGCCATTTGGAGGACATCCACAGTGGGTGGTCTGCACAGAAAACAAGACAATGCCTTTTATCAGTAAGACTTTCAAATGTTCAGCTAATGTAGAGGACATATTTTAATCTAAGTACCCACCATCAGGCATCAGAGGCATTGGAGGTTTCACAACAGTCCAACCAGCCTTCTTAAACATGTCAATCTGAGGTAAAGAACAGTAAGCAGCGGTGAACATGGGGGCACTTTGTGGTATTTATCAAAGTAAGATGATTTATCAGTCCACAAGAGGATAGCGAAGGACACTGTGAGAAATAAAAGGTAGCCTTTCCTGTCCTACGGTACCTGGCGACATGGCCGATCGGGGTTTGACAGCACCAGTCCTGGCCCAATAATATTGAAAGTAGCATCAATATGCATGGGGTTAGGGTCTTTGAATGAGATTATATGGATCTTGTAGTCTGGGGCCAGATGACGACGCATCCACTCAATTCCCATGTAATTTGTAACCTGCAGAAAAATGACAGTAGAAGAGGTTTGAGGGAGCTGCTGCATATTTGCCAGAGCTACCTTGAAAAAGAGATTGTAAACTTTTTTACTTGATCCAACCTTTCATTCTGCACTTGGACATTTAAACAATAGACTACTGTTTAAGAATATACATTTGTCTTTGTAACACTGTGAGAAAAGTCAGCAGCCACATCAAATACATGTTCATACCTGGCTCCTCTGGACAAACAGGTCCCTCCCAGCTCGAATAAAATCAGCAGCATCAAAACAGGGCTCGTGTTCTGTGGTCACAAACTTCCCCTGGGCAGCCAGTTTGTGTCT